CCGATATATTTTTTAAAAACACCAAATGTGTGTTTAAACAATTAATTTGCATGTAAAAACGTTATCAGTTAATGGAGTACGTATGCATGGGGGAAATGCATTTTCATTTGACTCCAAAACTATTGGGGCATATTCGTAGACCAAATAAAGTCGACTCTAAGTTAAAGTTTCTCAGTCCCAAAAAAGAAAAAAATTAGTTGCATCTTTTTTTCACAGATGCCTAATCCACTGAAAATGATGTGAAAAAGCTGTAACTAACTTTAGTGTCGACTTTATTTTTACTATGAAAAACAGTGAAAAATGATAATGCAACATATTTTCTCAATATAAATAACTTCGACAAAAACAACTTTGAAGTTTACACGTGCAGTGCAATCAATGCATTTGTACGCGTTTTGTCAATGTATCCATCTTTGAAGTGGATTTGTGAGAAAACTATGGCAGCTAGAAAACTGCAGTTTGTTGCATTGAAAATATCGTGTCTATAAACTACCATTAGAATCGTTAAATATATAAAAACCGATTTTCTTCGCTTTTAATGCCGACATCAAATCACCAAACAGTGCGCATTTGCGTTTTTTGGTCAATGTGTTGGTGTTTAAAGTGAATTTGGGGAAAAACTAAGGCAGCTAGAAAACTGCGGTTTGTTGCATTGAAAATAGCGTAGCATCTACCATATGAATCGGTAAAAAAGTAAAAGTCGATTTTTTCAACCCAAATGCCGACGGCAAATCACCCACGAATTTGCCAATTGCATACTACATATTTGCATAACTTTCACTTTTTAGATTCACAAAATTGTATCTCGCATATATATGCATGTACACAATATGTACATATTACATATTCCGACCTATGCATGCATTTATTTTAAATAATTAACCAATTTAAAGAACAATAAAAGCTTTGTAAAAACGTAAAAAGCCGTCAGCATTTCGCGTCTAACAAAAAAAACATGCATTTGCTTTGATGAGACAATTTCTGTTAAATTTATTTTGCCTCTGGCTGGGCTCTGTTAAAATTCGATTGTCTCTGGCCTGCCGCTCTTAAAATGCGCTTCGCCAGTTTTGTTGGTATTTGACAGTTTCCACGCTGATCCGTTCTTGGTCCTTCTCTATAAATATACGTTCTCTGTTTGGTATTATGACGTTCACAATAGTATATTTTTCACCGCTGAGAAGCTTTGTTTACAAATCGAGCAAACTAAAAAGTGTGCTTATACATATTTATGTAAGTTTGTGCAAATCAATATGAAATAAAAAAGAAAGCGAGTTTATAAAAACGTGAAAATGAGTACAACCGAGTTCTGGTTCAACGATTCGTCAGAGGATGAGAGCTTAGTAAACTGGCCAGGAGTAGCAAATGTTTAAGAGAGTTTAAGTGTAGTCTTTCGAATATATTCATTAAAAAGTTCCGACTGTCTAAAGTGTCTAGCCGCCAAAAAGTAAGAAAACATTCAAAATCATACATTTTTAACAATTTTCTAACACTTCGCTACACTCGAAAGCAAAATTCGGGAAATGTTTAGTACCACTCACACCGTTTTTTGGGTGGGGGACGGAGGGGGAGGGGGCGGTGCCCCCAAAACACCCCCCAATAGAAAGGAGACAGTCGCCGCTTTCTAAAAAGGGGAACCCCTCCCTTGGACTCCTCCCACAGGCACCTAGGGAACCGTTTGAAAAAGGGGGAAAAACGGATTTTTCTTAGGCAAACTGAGCAGTTTGAAGTGGAATATGACCCAACTAACAGAAACCGTGGGATTTTTTAATAAAAGAAATTATGCCAAATTAGATATGGGGGGATTTTGAATAAAGAATAAAAAGTTAATTAAAAATAGAAAAAAAAAGTTTTTATAAAAAAAAATGTTCTTTTTAACAAATGTATTTTTGCGTAGAATTCCTTTCTACGTAAGCGGCCTTCGGCCGCACTTAGGGATTATAACCCTCAGGCAGTAGAAT